TGTTCCCCTTTTCGGCGTCTTGGGTCGTTGTACGGAAGTAGCTGGCCACCTCTCCTGAGAGCGTGTTCTTTTGGGCCAGCCTGCCTCCACTCACGAGGAAGTCGAGCCTGTGGATGTGGCTCTTCTCTGACGCGCGTATGGGAACGAGACCTTCTGGTGTTCTCATCAGAAGAAGCTGCCGAAGCAGCAGGAGCGGCACCCGGTGGAGGTGCCTGAGGGGGCTCCTGTGCGATCCCAGATGGATCGTCCGATGGAGGCAGGTCTCCCTGCTGGATGGAGCTCGGCGCAAATGGTGCTTGTGCCGATGGTGATGATGATTCAGACTCGTCAAGATCGAAGTCAACCTCTTCCTCGCAATTCACGTCCATCCTGAGGATGGTGACGTCATCCTCATCTAACCCGCAACCATCGCCTTCTAATTCTTCCGATGTCGAACTACCGATGATGATGGCCATTGGCGTATCTGGTACAGGCAGGTTTCCCTGCATAGCCGGCGTCTGTGCGTCGCTCGGCTGTCCCGGGGTAGGAGGCACTGTTGTCGGCTCAGGCTCGTTGCCGAGCACAGGCTGCCCAGCAATGTTGCGCATGGCCGTATGGTTTGGCCTCATTCCCACCGCCTGGAGACCCCATCCTGGCGGAGGAAGATCATGACCGCGCATAGCAATAGCCATTTCTAGAGCATTACGCCATCTACCACGGGAGTATATCAAGTGTCTCTGCACGTCCTGAGGATGCACGCTGTCAACGAGAGTCAGAGCTGCCAACAACAGCTCTGAGCTACCACAAGCATCAGTATCCTGTTCTATCATAATGTCAGCTTCGATATGTTCTTGACTCTCAGGATAACCAGTAATAAGTATCTCATGCATCCTCATGAGGGTCTGCAAAAGGGTGCGTGGTCCATATTCGCCTGGAGCAAGCGAACCAGGAGGTATGAACGGAGTATCTGGTTCGCCTGCAATGAAGGCCTGAACAAATGCCTGAGACTCCATTTCAATTAAGTCTTCAGTGGTCTGGGGATATGCCCCCGTCAAAGACGGCCTGTTTCCAGGCGGGATTTCGGGCGGAGGTTCGAGGTTCCGTTGAACCTCGGAAGGCGAAGCCTCTATAGTGGTGTCCTCGTCGTCGCTCTCGCAGGCCATGATGTTGCCTGGGTCCCCGAACATCCAGTCGAAGAAAGAAAGAAGCTGGTTTCCCAGCGCACCGTGGTCCACGGGAGTGAGCTCGTTATTGCCCATAACGAACCGGCGGACGTACTCGAGGTAGTACGCGTACAATCCATGACCATACGCCTCGAGCTCGTCGACGTCGCCCACGCCAACAACCCAAGTGAAAAATATCTGTTCCATAGCCTCAAAGTCCTGGAGGCTCAGATACTCAATCGATGGTTCACTTGAGCCAAAATGGACTTCGGTCGACCTGCCCTTTCCATTTCCCTTCACTGGACAATCTCGCACAAGATGATCGGAACGACCACATTCATGGCATTTAAGAACCTGGCCGTCTCTACCTCGCGGGTTTCCCCGCCTACCTCTGCCTTTTCCTGAGGTCTCTCCACGGCCTTTACCACGGCCTTGTCCCCCAAAGAATATCTCATCATGTTGTTCATCTGAGAGCCTCTGGAGAAATGCCGCGATGCCTCGTCCGTTCAACCTCCGACGACCTCGCGTGCCTTTACCCTTTCCTTTAAAACTTCTACGTATCCTCCTTCTAACACGACGCACTGGTTTTCGTGTGAATCTCCTCCACCTTCGTTTAGCCTGTTGTAATAACCAGAACAAATGCTCAGCACGCTGATTGTCGTTATCCATATTCATAATATCTGACCAATCTAAAGCTTCAGCACCATCTGATGATATAGTGTCTGCATCGGTGCCGGAGTCGAAATCCTCGTCTCCCAAGTAGGTGGATACACCGTCGGTTACGGGGTTTGATCCCCCCCATAAAGAACGGTGTGGTTGTGGTTCTCTAGAAGGAGGGCTGGTTGCCCAGCTTGGTTGTGATCGATCCCCTGCTAATAACGCAGTGGATTCACCTGGGTCATCGGCCCATATGCTTGAAGGCCCGTTTCCAGGCTGGGCTTCAGTAGTCAAGGTAGTGTAGAAATTTCCACTACCAGATCCCCTTCCCCTTCCAAACACAGATCCCATGTTACCAGGAGACCGTTCGGATAGGTGGCCTATCGAACGCATCCTCTCCAGCAACTCATCATACTGTTGTTGTGTTCGGGGCATCTGGTGATTGAGTGGCTGTAAGAGTTGCATGGCTCGCTGGTTGCCGACGCCTAAGGCGCGGAATAGGATAGTGGTTAGCAGTTGGAAGTTGGGAAGGTCGAATCCCACCGAATGTGCCTCAAGTCGGGCCATTTCGAATCGGGTAAGGGTGACATCGATTCGTTCCCCGTGAGGCACGTGGAAGTCGATGAGTTGTGTGCCGGAAGTGAGCTGTCGCTCATCTTCCAGGCGTTCGAACTTCATGCTTAGGAGGAACATGATGTAGGTCACTGGGTCTGTGTGGACCCCATCGATGTCAGCACCATAGTTTATAATGTCAGGCGGTACCCTCATGGCGAGTGTCCTCGCTAGGCAACCTAGGCCGCGTTGTATTGCGGCCGCTTGGGCCTGTGGCGTCATACGTCCGCTTGTAACGTTGAGCCATGCGTTGACCTCGTAGATGTACTCACGAAAAGGTACATTACCTTGAGGGTCCCAATATGGGCCATGTGTTTGCCCATCGGTGCTGTTTTCTC